GATATCTACTATACATATATATTATTCAAAAGTATCCTGAGTCCAAAATTCATAATTAAAATATAGTTAATATAATGGTTAAATAGGACCCAAGAATATTTTACTTTTATATATATATATCATTGCTTTATCCCTACACTTGATAAAGGCACACAACAAATGGAAAATGAGGTTGTTGTCATGATAGAATATTTCAACAGGCCTAAAAGAAATTTTATAATTATTATAAGATACATTCGTTAGCCTAGACTTTCTCCACAAAACCATTAAATATACCTACAGGAAGAGTGAGTATACAAAAACATTTGGTCACATAGCTAGAAGGCAATGCCAAATGTAAAGCTAATAAAGTTAAGACAGAAAAAAAATATATATAATTAAGGTAGTTCCTACCAATAAATTCTCCATAGCTAAAGAGAAGAAAAGTATGGTGCAATACCTGGTCTACCATATAGATCATCACAAGATCTATGCTCAGTTCTTTCTTTTTGATGCTGAAATGCCTGTTTGTAGGAGAATATATACAATTCATAATTTGCAAACTGTATTATTACATCACTGTACTCTAAAACCTTGACTCCATGATTGGATTATTACAGTAGTCTCTGGGCCAATCTCCTGGACTTTGGTTGCTCTATTTCAAGTCAATTTTGGGTACTTTAAAATCAATATTCATAACACATTCATTTGATGCAGTCGTTCCCTTATATCCAGATAGAATACAAACTTCTCACTCTGAGGATCAAGCTCCACCACAAATGCACTTTATTTTTATCATCAGACGTTATCTATAACTTGTTTTTGCTGGAACTCTCTGTTTTGTTAGGAGCTGATCTCTTTACTGTGTTACAGAGCTTCCCAAGGTTGTTCCTCCTTTGCTCATTGTTTTTCTTTCCACCAATCCAATTCCATCCTTCAAGGATGCTCTCTTCCAGCCTGTGTCCCTCTCTACCATTTAATGACTAAACTACTGCTTTGGCCACTTTACTCCCCTACCTTTAATTCTTTACTGGTTGATCTTGGTATAAATACACTCTCCTCTGAGATTACAGAGCCCTGGAAAGCAGTGATCACACTAACTCGTCTCACATTTTCCCACAGTAGTATGTCTCAAGTCTTTACTCATTGTTTCACAAACACTTTTCTGATGAAACGGTGACTAGCCAGGGTTATATAAACGTAAGCACAAGTTGAAACAAAGGTTGGGTCTACCATGTGCTCTTACATTAAATGTTAAAACTGAATAATACCGAGCAGTTGCTTGGTAATTTGGAATCTGCTACAGCTGATCTCTTCTGTTGCCTGCAGGCTGCCAGATAAACCTGTGTTTTGACTTTAGGTTGATGCTCATTTACAAAACATTCACTGACTTTTATCTGAGGGGGGAGTTTTATGTACAGTTTAGATATAAGATTCTGATGATGAAACTAGAGGGTACATACATACCGTAACAAGTGAGTCTTTCACCAAAAGAGATTACGTAGAGTGAAATAAGCTCTAATCTATTGAGACTGTATTGAGAACTTGAAACCATAAATTAACACAGACCTAAAGATAAGAGACTCAGGCAAGAGCTGGAAAGTTTCAGCACAGGCCTAACACAATGTAATCAATTCTGCATGTTGTTTTTAGTTTATTTATTTATTTTTTTTAGTGAAATCATACTGTAGAAGGGTGGAATTCTGGGTATATCCGTGGAAGGGTGGAATCATACTGTAGAAGGGTGGAATTCTGGGTATATCTCTGACAGAATGATACTGTGTTCTCTTAACTTAGAGATACAAAGTCTGAAGAGGTAATACAACCTTCAGGGCAGAGAGAAGGTAGAACTAACAAGTGATAGTAAAATGGATGCAAGTTTTGAAAGGCTGATAAAAAATCTGGGGCAAGTACTGCAATGTCTTTAGTTTTTCATTTAGAATTTCATGCACTGAGATATAGATATCTAACATTAACACAAAGCAGAACATAATATGGAATTTAATAGTAGGGTACTAACATGTTGTATTGGATAACAACAACAACAAAAAAGGTTAAATCCAGTTGGAGCAACTGGTGAAATCTTCATGAGGAGATGATATATCAAGCTGGAGTTTGAAGTGTAAGTAGAAGAAAAAAATAGTGCAACTCCTGTGCGAAGGACAGCATGAGTAAAGGTGTGGAGCGAAGAAGGGTGTGTTGTTTGAGTCAGTAGATTGAGTCTGAAATAAAGGGTAAACTGAGGGAATAGTAAGACAAAAGGTTGGAATAGCATATTGGGGCAAAGTCACTAACCTCCTTGAGTGCTATGCTGAGGAGTTTGACAATGGAGAATCGCCAGTGTTCTAAGGAGGGGTGGGGTGCAGACAAAATCTAAACTAGGTTGGCTGAAGAAGATTATGACAACAAGGTGAAAATTAAATCTTAATTAGGCACCTAATCTAATTAGGTAGGTGGCAGGGAGAACAGGGAAAGGTTTTTTATAATAGTGTAGAAGAAATTGAGACAAAAGGGACCGTGTGAGTAAGAGAAAGAGAGAGAGAGAGAGAGAGAGAGAGAGAGAGAGAGAGAGAGAGAGAGACAATGAGGATTGCATGAGCAAACTTTAGAATTTTAGTTTGGGGTGGGAGCAGCATAAAGCTAGAGATGACAGTGAGCTGAGTTTGGGACAAATTGATTAAGGTCTTTCCCAGTCATCCCCTGAGAAGAAAAATAATAAGCAGTAGGGGCTAAGGATGGATAAAAGAAAATACTCTTTAAGAGTAACTATGGGAGTCTGTGAAATGTGTTTCTGATTGCTAAAGTGCTGGTTCACTCTAAGAGACATTAAAATCAGCACTTAAATCTGATTTTATGTTTCTTGCAATTTTGAACTAAGAAGCCAATGTTTTTCTCAAGGAGTAACATGATTAATTTTATGACCTTCATCTGTATTCAATTATCGTATCAGAGAAAAGGATTTTCTTGATACTTCCATCTTTTTCATACCCCCATATATGTATCTTTGCACTTCCTGCCTCTTCATCTGAACTGCTTCAGACTCCATCCCCCTTCCTTTATGCATGCCCATGTCTCTTTCATGTCAATTCCAGCCTATACTACAATTCTTTTGAACTCCTCCAAATATTTAGGATGCTGCTGCTTTGTTATATGGATAATTGTTTTTGTCTGAACAGGGAAACAAGGAGGCTTCTTCTCCTCCCCATTTTATAGCAAATCACAGGTATCACAGTGTACCCATGTGCAGGATGCTAAGGGTCATAGCTATGGGTAGCCAATAGATTCTAGGTTACTTGACTCAATTGTACCTAAGAACTGTTTACTGAGGTTAAAGTCACTTGCGGGCTGGAATTGTGTTGGATACTGAGGATAAACCAGAAAACTAAACAAACACAGTCCTTGACCTTATGGAGCCTACAGCCTAGGAAGGAAGGCAGACATGTAAAAATGACTATTTAAAAAGGGACAAACTTCACTGTAGATGCATAGGAGACCATGGAAATATTTTGGTTTACATAATCTTGTAAATCACAGAAAATAGAATTCATTAATAATACTTAAGCATTTAGGAATACATAGTAATATATTTTATTAATTTGACAGAATATTAAGCCACATCATTGACAATACATGATAGAATATCTAAGTGAGTGAACACTCATAGGTTGATTTCAACACTCATAAACACTCATAGTGTTTATGTCAAATATACACGATATAAATAACTGATCTAGCAATGTATAATCTTGATAACAATGGAAAACTTTTAATAACTAAGTAATTTGCATTTATCATAGCAACTTATTAAAAACTGGAGAGAGTATTTCAATACATTTACCCTCAGGGTTGAGCTATCAATGATTTATCTTTAAATATCAAGTAAAGAGGAGTGTCAGAATTAAAGTATATATTATAAACCCAGTGCATATGTCACTCTTCTTTTAAAACTACATGTATCAGCTACCCTTGATCCCAAATTAAATAAATTAATTCATCGCATCATAAATGCAACAAAACATATAATATAATATCCAATACCATAGTTATGATTACATATTATGTATGTATTTTGTACTTATTTTTGTACTTTAAATAATGAATAAGAAAAAGTGGAATACACAAGAAATAAAGGGATGAGAGACAAATACTAGCTTTTGTCAGAAACAGAACATAGGTTTATTTATCACAAAAGGGGTATTTCTTAACTTGGCTTTGTCAAATACTTTACTGAAAAGTGAAGAAGATATCAAAGCTGGCTCTTTTAATGAAATGCAAATTCAGTGATATAAAAGTTGAAACTGAGACTTTTTAAATGACATACTGATGCTTTACAGTACACATGGAACAAAATTGCATTTTTACTAGAGTTCTCTCTTTTCTTAGGTGCATGTCTTAGGTATCACTAAGAAATCTAGTACCTGATGTCATTTGAGGACAAATAAATTATCAGGAAATCTTTTGAAAAAGAGAATGGAACTCCTATGCTTTTAAAGAGCCAGTGAAATTATGTCATTATTTTTTTCCGAGAAAACTTCTTTTAAAATCATTTATTTAAGCAAAATTATTTTACTAGCTTTAAAACAGTACAATAAAGGATTAGAAAGTAGTCACTCATGATTCCAAATCATCAGTAACCCAAAATGAAGATGTTGAGAAATTGAAGTGGAAAATGGAAGCGATGTTTTACAAATATCAACCCCTGTAAAGCCTCCACTCTTGCCTCTAATGCATGGCCATTTCAGGTAAAAGCATTCTTTCCTAGATTGTTTTCTCCAGTGTGTATTTTCTAGGGTTGAAATGAGTACATATCTTCGTGAAATTTAAAAGCACTGTGTACTTTATTTTAGCGTGCATGCACACGTGAGCACACCAAATGTCTTAAACAGCCCCCAAATTTTGAGGGGTGAAGGGATATGCATCATTTAGGCATTGTGTAATGCTTTAGTTTAAGTTTATAAAAATTTTCAAATTTGGCTGCATATTCAAATATCTTTTTACCTACTTCCTCTCCATCCCCACAGATCTTCATAAACAATGAATGGCATGATTCAGTGAGTGGCAAGAAATTTCCTGTCTTTAATCCTGCAACTGAGGAGGTCATCTGCCATGTAGAAGAAGGAGATAAGGTGAGTTTTTAAACACTAGTTCCATTTTTATGCCAGGTTTCCTGGTTTTTTGCCATTCTGAACTCACAAACCCCATTGCAAATTCAAAATGATATGTTGTGAAAACATGGCTTCTGGGGCAGTCCGGGGAAATTTTCTAAGTTGCCCTTGGTACATAAAATCACTCAGTAGTCATGTCACAATGACAATGAGTCTGTGCTTCTGGGTGTTTTGGTGAGGTTTTCATACTATTTTTTCTTGCTTGATTTTCAATTGAAATAGTGCCTAGATTTATTATATAGGCTGCCTAAGAAGGGATTAATTATAGGTTTGAAAAAGAAGAAAAATCTTTTATTCACATAACATTGTTCGTTCTAAGTTGCTAGTGAAACTAAAATGTTAATGTAGAACTTATAGAACAACACATTACCAAGTTATTTTATTAAAAATCATTGAATTAATATTAATCAATACCTTTCAAATGGAACTTTAAAATGACTTAAATTGAATAACAAAAGTATTATTACTCTCCAGCTAATAATAGTAACAACAGAAACCAACTTTTATTTAGTGATAAATGTTTTCAAATTCTCAATGTTGTTTTAATACTTGGCAGCAACCCTATAGAGAAGGTACCATTTTTAGTGGTTTTTACAAATAATGATGAAATGACGGAATCAAAAGGCTAAGTTATTTACTCAAGGTCACATTGCTAATAAGTAATGAAATGAACATTGAAATGTTCTCCTGATTCTCTTGCCTGTGACCAGCAAGGCTATAGCTTTACCTTGTGATTATTGTGAAGATAAGCTTGGGTAATATTAAACAACCTAGGGGATAAAGAGAGTAAAAGCCTTCAGAATTTTTATCTGAACACATACCTTAAAAAGTCTGTGTGTTGCTAAGTGTCTAATCTGAAATAATTTTTGTGTTCTTTAGTTGTCCAGATATTACCAAGTTTTAAATCTCTGTTACATGAGATAGAGAGGTATACCATTTTGCTGCGGGAAAAGACTTCTGGGAGATGATGGCAGCAAAACCCAAGGATAATAGCATCCGGGACACTGCATTTCGATTGACTTGCAGCACATGCATCGCTCCAGGATCTGGCCTTTGGTTACCTTAGCCCCAGTCAGGGAGATCACAAACCTCAAGGTCCTGAGCCACCCAGACACACCTACTCCAAGAAGACAACAGACACTAGCGGGCCCTTTTGGATTTGGGGTAGCCCTGAATTCAGGTTGCAGTATTATCAGAACAAGTGAGGCCCATTCCTTTAGGGGCAGGAGTGCAGAGTTTAGCTGCAGGGGTCAACAATTTGAGCAGGAGAAACAAAGCAGGGTGCAGGTACATATCACCTGCTTTCTGATTTCCTTTTCTGTGTATATACTAAAGAGTTTCTCAGTGCAAACATTTTTCCTTCTGCTTCTCACTGTCTCTGGGCGAAAGTCAACACACAAAGGTCCTTTATAATATTACTCAATCGTTGTTCATGGCCCCTGCCCTAGGCCACCCCATCAACCTAAGAGCTTCACTTTTTCCTTTCACAGTGTCTATCTCCAAACATGGCTTGCTGGCCAGTCATTGCCTGTGTGCATATCCACAGCCCAGTCCTCAGGAGCTAGTTCAAATGGCCACCTGTAGCAAGAGCACTGAGATTCCACATTTGTACTAACCCTGTTTGGACTTCTGTTCCTTTTTGTGTAAGATGAGGAGATTGGAAATACTTAGGGGAGTTAAATAAAAGACACAAAGCTCTTCAACGGTGCCAGGCACATAATAAATTCTCAGTCTCTACAGGGTTTTATACTTCTTGAAAGCCTTCTCTTACCTTCCCAGGTAGAACTGCCCTCCTCTGTGCCATTATGGAGCATCATATTTGCCTGTTTTATAACTCTTGTGTGTTATACAGCTTTTGGTGAATGTGTCCAAGACAATATGCTTCTTATAGAGATCAACAGTATATCTCACATTTATGTCCTTGGTTTCTGGTATACTATAGGTGATGCAGCAATGAAATACTGTCTTCCGTCAAACTTTGAATTGGCATATAACCCCACATACCTCCCCTGGAGAATCTAACCTGATTATTGACGAAGGCAGTGATTCTCAAAATTAAGCCTGAATCAGAAAATCCTGGAAGGCTAGCAAAATGCAGATCGCTGAGTCCCCCCCCCCCCAGTTTGTCTCAATAATTCCAGAGTGGGGCCTGAGAATTTGCATTTCTGACAAATTTTCAGGTGATGCTGATATTGTTGGTTGATATTGATTGATGTTGGTTGATGTTGATATTGCAGGTGGGGGAGTGCATTTTCAGAACCACTGAACTAAAGTGTTGGACTGTAAGTTGTATCTCTTCTCAAGTATTAGCGTTTAATAGGAGGCATGGATTTTGGCAGGTAAGAAAGTTAATGATTGGAAGCTGTGCTGTGGCAGTCACTGTGTACCTCTCTGAAATGTCACAAGACTAAATTTGGGTGAGAAATACTGACCATCCCTGATATGGTCTGTAGGAGATCTGGAAGCCTGTGTCCTATGACCCATTCTCAGAAATAGGGGAAAAATTTATTCTTCATATTTCAACAAAAAGGAATGAATACCTCTTACCAGAGACTTCAACACTCCTTTACCTCAAATGTCTCTTTATTTGCTTGAGTGGCTCTAGCAAGCCAGGAGAGTGGGGGAAAACAATGCAGGGCAAGGTGAGGACAGAGTGAGCCTGTGACAGTTGCCTACCCGCTCTCTCCATACGTATAAATGCCACTCAGGAGGGAGACGGCAGATCTGTTTGCAGTCTGCAATTAGCAAATGGAAAAATATTTTTGATGTTTTAGCTCTGGAGCCTTGAACATTTAGCTTTGCCATAAGGATTAGTTTTATCAGTAAAACAAATCTCTGCTCCTAAAGTTCTAGTTGAAACCTTGTCAGGTAGTCTGAGGACTTTTCTTGGCACAGTTTAGTTTGCAGGATTTACCTTCTTCCTAACGTGTACTAGGGAAAGCCGATGCTCATACTAGAAGCCTTAGAAATCTTTGCCATTGATGTGCCCGGTGCTTATTGACAATTACTACTGCTCAGACAAGCAATCAGGGACAGTCAGTAACATCCAGAAAGTTTCACACCAGGTCATGATGCTGATTGAGGTATCTGGACATATGATCACTGAAACTCAACTGTTTACGTTACAAACTGTTCATGGTGAGCTGCTGTTTGCTTAAAAACCAGCACTTGCCTATTCTTTTAGGAATTATACAAAAACTTTGGTTTTTAAATAATTATTGCTGTTCTCACAATTTTGCTGGCAAACATATAGTAAACTCCAATAACATTAATAAAAGGTACAAATCAAGTAAATTACAGTCACTGCAAACCCGATACTCTGGAACTCTTTAGATAATGAGCCAAGAGGTTTTAGGGATTTAATTTAGAAGTAGAAAGGCGCTCACAATGGGCTATATACCTCCTTTCAATTGTATTATAAAGAAAGGAGGAGGGGCCAGAACAAATGGGGGTTACAAAGCAAAGAACAGATGTGGGTGGGAACTGTTTTCTTTTCACTTCAGTGGCTCTTTTAGGCTATATTGACTAATCCTGAAAACTGCTTTTAATACTAAAGCATGACCTAACAAATAATTGGTGGGGATAAAAGTAAATGTCCATTAAAGTAAGTGCCTGTGACAGGTGTAAAAGTAGAACTGGTCTGATGACTATTTTCTGCATCTCTGAATGAATTTGGTGTAGAGATGCACCATGTGGATTTATTGAAGAGTTCAGTTCTTCCTTAACTGTGCTTAGCAGCCTTTTTATATCTGAGCAACATTTAAACTGTCTTCATGCATTCAGCTGTGGCCCTTTCCTATTAAAGGAACGTTCTAAATGCCATAAGCAAAAGTGGTATTAATGGTGGCAAATCCTAGTTTATGTACCAAATTGTTTTCTGGTTAATTCAAAAATTATATCTCTGAAAATGTCAGTCCTAGAATAAAAATACAAGAAATGCTAGTCTTGGAATTAAAAAAGAAAACAACCCTGATGCCAAAGGAATTAAAAAAGAAAATAACCCTGATGCCTAATAGCTTTTAATAGTGTAAACATTTTGTTATAACATGAAATCCATTTAAAAATGATTTGTTATATAAATTTCAATATAAATAAATTGATCATATAAGACACACACATATAAAATCAGTGTTACATAGGAGTTTGTAAATAGGTAACCAAATTATTATTTATTAACTGCATATTTTAGGCCCTGAATAGTAAGAAATATTATAGCTTATAATACAGATATCAGTTAATATTCATTGCAAAGGATTTCATTATTAGAGCAGCTTTGCAAAGCTACAAGAACTAGATTTTGGAGTCAGATATGGGATCAAATTTTGGTTCTACTGCCTGCTGGATTTCATGTATGGCTTTTCTTTACATGGGGCTGTAAAGAACTTACCTTGTGCCTAGAGCTTAGTAGGCTATTAAATTAATAGCTATCAACAAGCTGGATTAGTCTGGTGAGGGTTTAGGTAGATTGATACTTGACCTGGGTATTAAACAATATGTAAGATTTTGAAAGTAAAGTGGTGTACTGGTAAAACATTCTATTCAAAGAGAGTTACAGGAGCAAATGTAAGAAGGAGTTGGGTCAGCTAGAGTAGAACAAATGTGAACACTAAGTTTGTGTGGGTGAGGTGAAGCCCAACAATGTTGGGCCTTGAGAACCAGGCAGAGGAGTTTGGCCTTCAGACTGTAGATAAAAGGGACCAATGATAAAGATTTGAAAGAGGAAGTGATAAGACAAAAGTACTTGAAGGTTAGCCTGGTAGCAATAGGCAAGACAGGTCAAGGAGAAAAGAGAATGAACTTGGGAAGGCCATTGACAATATGAAATAAGAAGGACCTAAATAGAGCAGGACAGTGAAAATGGAAAGGAGGATTAGAAGATGCTAGAGTTATTGTTAAAGGTTGGTTGTTTTAACTGTTAGTACCACACTAACAATTGCCACAACCTAATCAACACTGAGCAT